AGTGTGTACTCAGTCCCATTGTCCACATCATTAATGAAATCATTAAGCTCTACCAAACCCAGAACAGATCTCAACTGTTGTTTCTGAGTACCTGTCTCTTCTGTCTTCCAATGCCTTCTTTGGTGGTCTTCCTTTCATGGTATGGGACATCTCTTTGTGAACTGAGTTGATGGAGGCCTCATGGTTGCTTCTGAGCCTAGCCACCTCCTCCTGCAGCTACCTTATCTGTTTGCTGAGAGAATCCACCAGGAAACACCTCACACCACAAGCATTCCCCCACCTAGCTATCCTTAACAGAGGCTTTGGCACTGCAATATATTTCAGCCATGTGTTTGACTCTCCTGCTAGCTCCTTCCTCTTCAGCTGGGCCATGGGGGTGGGGGATGCATCAATCAGGGACAAGCCTGAGCCTGTGCTTATCATGAGGTCCCTTCCAGCCCTACATTTCTGTGAATCTGCTGAACTCCTCACACCTCCAGGGTGTGGGAGCACTCAAATCACTGGCATAGACAGTGAAAATGAATATGTCCCTTCCCTTATCACTAAAAGATGCTGCTGGCATTAAAAGCAGATTTAGCACTTTAGCAAACTGCATCTGAGTGCTTGGCCAGTAATTTCCACTGCTATACTGTTTTGACTTTAAAAAAAATCTGACAAACATATATAGCTTGATTTTTACTTTTTAAACCTTACATAGATTATGGTAAATTTAGACCTTAAGTTACGTTATCAGAATTCCAATTTTTATTTTAAATAACTTATCTATACTTAAATAACTTATCTTTATTTTAATAACTTATCTTATTTCAGTAAAAGTCCCTTTTGATCTCTCAAAACTATTTTTTATCTACTGCATTTTAAACAGCATGCTGTTCAATATACAATATTTCTGCATGGCTCCTCATTGACATCTTTTAAACTATAGAGCACTTAGTGAAGTTTTTTAGTCAGCAGAACCAACCCCTTGATCTGAGGATGACAGTCTTCCAGTAAGTAGGGAAGTCATTTGTAAGTCTACAGATGACTGAGGCAGCCAATCTGAGATCCATGTGTTCGACTGCAGACATGGAAAAGAGTTCCAAGAGGTAGGAGTAGTTCCTGGTGGATCACAGCTCTTTCCCCTGTCTCTTTCATCTATCCACCTCTATAGTGAGGCGTATTTGCTCAAAATGATCAGTATTTTGTTGTATATCACAGCAGCATTGGGGAGGATTCAGTGTCTCCCATCATTGATGATATGGTTGCAAAGTTTTCAGGTGGTTCTGATATGTCATCCCAAGTTTCACACCCATATAACACAGTAGGAATGGCAACTGATAAGAAGTTTGATTAAGCTCCTGATATCATGATCATTGAAGATCATTGAGATGTCCAAAGGCAAAACTGGTAAAATGTATGTGGTGTTAAATACTGTCATCTATGCTTACTTTTTTGGAAAAGATGGCTTCCCACATTGAGGAAATGTTCAACATCCTCCAAGGATTGCCCTCTAACTGTATTCTGTGGAGGACAGGCTGGTTGGTTTATGGTGTATAAAGGATCTGGGGTTTTGTGAAGCTGATAGCGGGTCCATGCATTTCATATGATGAGTTTCATAGTTGGTAGGGTCAGAAGGGACCTGAACAGATCAAGTCTGACCCCCTGCCCTGGGCAGGAACGAGTGCTGGGATCATAATATCCCAGACAGATCCAACCTCCTCTTGAAGACCCCCAAGGTAGGGGAGAGCACCACCTCCCTTGGGAGCCCATTCCAGAGCCTGGCAGCCCTAACTGTAAGGTAATGCCTCCTGATATCAAGCCTGAACCTGCTCTCAGTCAATTTGTGGCCGTTATTCCTTGTTATCCCAGGTGCTGCCCAGGGGAACGGAGCCTCACCTATTTTCCGCTGGTCCCCCCTGGTGAGTTTAGAGATGGCCACCAGATCCCCTCTCAGTCTTCTCTTGTGGAGGCTGAATAGATTCAGGCCCTTTAGTCTATCTTCATAGGGCCTAGCCTGCTGCTCCCTGACCATGTGAGTGGTCCTCCTCTGGACCCTCTCAAGATTAGCCACATCCCTCTTGAAGCATGGTGCCCAGAACTGGATGCAGTACTCCAACTGTGGCCTGACCGGCACCGCATAGTGGGGAAGGAACACCTCCCTGGACCTGCTTGTGATACTTCTGTAGATGCACAAGATGCGGTTAGCTTTACTGACTGCTTCCTCACATTGGCGGCTCCTGTCCATCCTGGAATCAACAATGACTCCAAGATCCCTTTCAGCAGCTGTGTTGTTGATACTAATCTGTGGACACTCACCCCTTCCAAGGTGTTGTGCTCCCTCAACTACCAGTGAAATTACAGAGGAGTTAAAAGCAACCTCTTATGATAGGGTCCTAATAAATGGTAGTATAAATGGTGGGAGATGACAGGTTTTTGGGTGGTGGTGGTTGTTTTGTTTTTAAATGATATCCAGAAGTGTGCAAGGAGAGATTGTGAAAATGAGTCCTAAGTAGTGTCTGCACACTTCCACTTGTGGAATCAAGGGGTTTGCATCATGAGCTTATGGAGTCATTTCGCCAGTTGTACTCTTGGTTCTGTTCATCCTCTTTTTCCATTTGAAGGTTCAGAGAATAGAAAAGGTGTGGCTTCATCTGCTCTTCAATTCCTTCCAGTTACTCAAGGTGCAGGGATCTTAAATAATGCTCAGGGTCCTTTATGCTTCCTTCATCAGCTTTATTATATTGTTTGACAGCTCACTTTAGCTGTTGGATTATTATTAGTCAGCATTTCTGAAGAAGGAAGAGAGATCTGGACGGTATGGGCACTGTCTGGACCCACTATGGCATGGGACTTACCCCATGATAGGGAAGGCTTTGCAAGTCTAACAGCACCAAATATACCTGTATGCCTGGTGTACATAACACCAAATTCCAGGTGATTAAGTTTGCCAGGATTATGGTGAACTGCTTTTCAAAGTTGCTCTGGATCCCTGGGTGTATTTAGCTTAATATAATATGGAGCTGAAGATCCAGCAGTGAATTTGGAGAAACATTTTCCATTTTGTGGTTCTGTATCCTTAATAAATCTCTGAAGTACCCAGGTTCATCCAACTGATGCTGGCACAGATGGATCTTTGGCTGTCAAATGTGAATAGGCACTTCCTAAAGAGGTTCTGTGCCAAGTATGAGCCACATTGGTGTTCCCGGATTCACCACTGTGCCCTCTGGTGCAGGCACTGACTATCATTTTGTAGTGCAGCATCAAGAGTTTGGCACCATTTTGTTTCTGTGCTCAATGTGGTGAGACAGAGATCTCCAGATCCATCTAGATCAGTTGTGTGAAACCTTTCTGACCTGTGAACTGACTCTACATGCCATGTCCAACCTTGCATGCTGGGTCCAGAGCCATGAATTGACTCCACACACCAGGTCTGGGACTGTGCCCCAGGTCTGACCACATGGACAAGGTCCAGGGCCATGCACTGCACCCAGCCCTGCACATCAACCCAATCCAGCACATTGGGCCATATCATCCAGCTCATAGGACTCCCTGCAGGTCCAAAAATGTAGTGGAGGAGGAGCTGGTGGCAGTGTTAATTGCCATAGGGCTTCCAGAGTTGTAGCAATTAACACTGCCACTGCTCCCCCACTGCCACAAATGGGGAGTCCTACAGGCTGAATGACTTAACTCCATGGGCAGTACTTTGAGCACTGCTTATCTAGATTGACCTAATGAGTGTGTAGGACCCTGTATCATTCAATCTGTGCCTAGCATTCAAAACAAATAACACAATGGTTCCTTCATCTGTATTGGTAAAGTTCATTGCTGAATTGAATTCTCTTCTGTTAACTCTGGGAAATCATCTAGTAAGTGCTTTGTTACTTGGATAGGCAACTACATTCCTGAATCCATCTGGATTAATATGATTTCAGTGCTATAGGCACAAATCCATCAGCTACAATAGTGTATTTTCTGTGATAGAAGCAGCAGCAAAGATCCAGCCCTGTGCTGGGTTGAAAGGCTGATTTAAACATTGGACTCATCTACTTCTTGCCTCTTAAGCATCATTTGCCCAGAAGTTGGGGTTCCAGCTTTAAGGCTCTGCCTTAGGTACTGAAGTTGGTAGTGAAGCCCTTGTATACATATGACTCAACAAAATTCAGCATCAAGTTTCAAAAAGCTGATTCTCCAACAAAGACTACTTGGAGGAATGTGGAAGTCTCTCTATTGCTCTCAACTTCTTTGAAACTGGGTGCAACTTAACTCACAAAAATTATGGAGGGGTGCCTCAAGTCCAGAAAGGATGAGAACCACTGATCTAGGCAATTAATTAGTTCTCAGTTAAGACACTCAACAAGGAGATGGGAAAATTACTTTTCCAATCTTCATATAAAAATGATGTGTGAAGATAAGATCTACTAGCTCTAAAACCTTGTTTCCCTTTAGCATGGATTTCAACAAGTTCAGTTCATTACTACAGGTGCATCTTTTGTTCTTAAGCAAGTTTAAAAACAAACATAAAGAATCAAACCAAACCAAACTCCCTTGAATATTTGCACATTGATACCGGGCCTATTAAAGGCAGTTTTAACTAAAAATAAAAATGCTATTATATATTTAATTGAATTCCACTTTTCATTTAAATAGAGCTCAACATATTTCACAAGTAAAAATAGGCGTAGTAAAAAAGATGCATCTATCTTTTACTCCCTTTCTAACATAAAATTAAAAAATAAGAATCTGTATAAGTGTGTTGCATGTTAAGCTGGATAACAGCTTAAATAAATATATATCTAGTGTATCCTTTCAAAAATGAAATGCCAAATTTAATATAAAAACATGCTTTAATAGTTACTTTCCTAAATAGATGTTGATTCTTACTGATAAGCAGAAATGTATCACAAGAGTAAAAATTATTTGAGTCAATACATCCTGGTTTGGATAGCTAAACAGCTATTAATACTGGATAACTATCATATTCTAAAACAACAATAATCATTCCATGAACACACAGACTAACCTTTTAGAATATCAATTTGTTTTGGTTTACAATTGCAAGTTTATTTGTTGAAATACACCAAATAAGATGCAAGCACTTTCATGACAAATATACAGAAAAAGTAGGATCAACACAGAACAGTAATTCTTAGCTAAAAACAAGGGAAAGCTCTTTAAATGTTATGACAACATACTCCCAATAAGACCTGCTTCCTTTCTCCAGTTAAGTTAATCATATTGTTCAATAAAATAAAGGGTGGTAGATTAAGAAAAGTTAGCTGTGCATTTTCCTTAAAAATGAACTCCAAACTAATTCATGCCAGTTAAACACTAGAACTAAAAATTTACAAATAAGCATAAAAGGAGCTGAAGGTGTTAGAATGACTTTTTTCTTTCTGAGCAGTCCAGGAAAAAAAAAGTTACTACAAATACAGCAGGCAAACTGACTGTTGGACTGATTGATATAGGATATATAGTGTTGTACTGAACTCAGTCTCAAATTGTGCTAAATGCTCATCGTCCTCAGTATGGCACATTTTGGTCCATGATGGGGATTTTATGTTGAAACAGATCCCAACTTGTTACAGAAATGTGTAAATATTGTTGCTTTTAAAATGCCAGGTGTACTTCCTTCTACGATGGCAGAAGTTAGAAGATATTTATAGGAAGTAGTCTGGGGTACGACGAGTGACATGAGGCTCTCCACGACGAGGTGCTGGGTCAAATTGAAGGCTATAGAAAAAGGAAAACAGAAAACAAAAAACCCCAATGGTTATTTTTTGGCACCAGAAGGAATGTTTATTGCATTTTTTAATACAAGGCTGCTGTACTTTCACTTAACCCACCCTCACCACACATTGTACCTTATATCCCAATTCAAACCTAGAAGAAAAATAATTACCAAATGATGTAGTATTTTACAAGAGGTAAATTGTTATCAACTGGCATAAAAGGTTGCACGAAAAGGTCAAAACAGTAGCCACTTCAAAAGTGAATTTATTGTCTCAATAAAGGTTAGAAGTGCCTTTCACCAATTCCATCTGGTGAGAAGGCTAGACCCCTTCCTTTCAGGCTCTGATCTGGCTGCCACCATCAATAACACTGAGCAGGGGTCTGGACTAGATGACCTCCTGAGGTTCCTTCCAGCCCTACTTTCCTGATTCCTTTGCTTTTGTAACATTAAGCTAGAATACTTTACCTGCGGCTGCCCACAGTGACAGTCCAGAAGATGCAACTGGTGTGGAATGCAGCAGCCTGCTTTCTAACTGGGGTGAGTTAAGGAGCACACAACTCCAATGCTCCAAGGCCTGCACTGGCTCCCAGTAACTTTCTGAGCATAATTCAAGGTGCTGGTTTGGACCTAAAAGGCACTAAACAGTCTGTGCCCTACTTACATAAGAGACGGCCCCTTCTCTCTTATGCCACATCATAATCCCTAAGACCAGTTGGAAGCAACCTCCTACTAGTACTATCAGTTTGCTTGGCAAAAAGATATGGGAGGCCATTGGTAACAGCTGCTCCCCAGCTCTGAAAATCTTTCTCCCTTGAAGCCTTCCAGAGCCTAAGCCTGGGCATCTTTTGGATACACTGTAAGAACTTCCTACTTGGGTAAGTGTTTAGCTAGCCAGGCTAAACTGGTATACTATTTAAGGAGCTTTTGTTTTCATGTTCTATTCTACTTGCTTTTATATGCCCACCACTCACCCTTCGGGGCCGGCCATGTAAACACTCCTTTGAAATCTGTCATTCTTGACGAGCAATTGGCTAGTGTATGTAATAAATAATACTGTTACAAACATGGGTGTAAGTCTTGTAAATAATACCATAAACTCTTTGCTCACTTCTTAGCCCATAACTACTGTTTGTCAATAACAACCTGCCGCACTTTGACACTTCTATGGCTATTTTTCAAGGTGTTCACAATGTTTCACCACTTTCTTCCAGAAATACTTGTTTACATTATAAAAAAACTCTGGTGTTTTCCTTCCTAAAGATGAAAGCGATATAGGATGGACACAAATAGAAAAAGTACCAGGGAAAAAAGAGACAGAAGGGCTAACAAATGAGAAATTGTGCTTATTAGGAAGTAGTAATACAAAACTAGATTTGCATAAATGTAAAAAAAAGCTTCTGCCTCCTTACAGTCAGAAACCAATACTTCAAAAAATATGGATTTCTCCCTATTTAGAAGTAAAAGGGGGACACAAAGAAAAAAAAAGTTACTCACAAGGAATATTTTAAAGTATCATCTAGTTCCATAATAGCAGCCTGATTCCCACAACGATAACAATAATTGGGCGCACTGAAAATGGTAACCACATTTCGATCATGACACCAGTTGTAACCCTGCAATGCAAAAACAAAAAAAAAAGGAAAACAAAACATCCTTAGTTAGGGCTTAGTGTTGGTCAAATCTGAAAGCTCTTCTTAAAAGGTTTATATGGATTATAAACAGATTACTAACTATTTGCAAATTCTGAAGTACAGGCAGTCCTTGGACTTTTGACACAATTGGTTCCTGAAAACTGCCTCTTAAGTTGAAACACCTAACTCAGAACCAATTTTCTCATAAGAAACAATGTTATAAATGGGGGATTGGTTCCTGAACCAAGGCCCAATACCCTATTTTCGCCAAAAATAGCCCAGAATTTTGTACTTGATCAATTATACACGAGTAATATAGCTACATTAATGTATTTATATTGTAAATAGCAATCATTTGATTTGGAAGGACTTCTTTGAGGTGACTTTGCTGGACTATGAATCTATGCTATGCCATGAACTTTGCTATGAATCTGTGACTTTTTGAAAAGCTCTTGGTTGGACTTTTTGAAGGGTTGTTGGCTGGAGTTTTCTCAGGAGTCTCGGCTGCAGGTTTTTCTGGAGTCTTGTCTGCTTTCTTAAAGAGACTGTCCAAAGAAGTTTGGACAGATGTTTCCAGGGAGATGAGCGACACAGCCAACTTGTTCGCTGGTGTGGCATCGCATCAGATCAAGCGTTGTAAAGTCGAAACTGATGTCATAAAGTTGAAACAGGGTATCAATTTATAAATGTTGTAAGTGAGAAAAGTTGTAACTCAAAACGTTTAAGTCAAGGACTGCCTGTATAGTATTCTAGAAGTACCTAAAAACTTTTAACTAGATATATTTAGCTTTTTAAATGTGATACAGTTCACACTTGACCAGTTTTCATATGCTGATGCTTGCATGTACAGACACTAAATATAAAGTTCTATCTATAACAGTGGTCACCAGCTTGGGGACCCCGATCTACAGGCAGATGCCAGAGCCTTTTTTGGGCTGGGGGGACAGTTGGGTGTGCACCATACACACACCTGCCACCCCCAGTACCAGCAGGTCAATCTGTGGCGGAGGGAAGGGGTGGGGACCAGATTGAGACCCCCGCAGTGAGCAGATGACCATGCAGCCCAGCCAGGAGCAGGGGAAGGTAAGTGGGGCCCCAGCCCGGCCAGGTGGTGGGAGGATTGGAGCCTGGGGGGCTCCCCGCAATCTCTGCGGGAGTGGAGGCGGCAGAGGCTGCTGCTGCACTTCAAGCCCTGCTGCAAGCTGGCCACGTGTGGGCGCAGCTCAGCTCAGTTCAGCAGTGGGAACTCACGTCGGGGCAGCCCCAGCCCAGCTGGGCCTGGGAATTTCTGATCACCCAGGGGCGCGTGGGGGCTCCCACTGCTGGGCTGAGGCATGGGCCCCCGGGGCCTCCACTACTCCTGCATGTGCCCCTGGACCACAAACACTTCCAGACAGAGCCAGGCCGAGGCTCTGTCAGCCACATTTCTCTGGCTGCCAGGAGGGCATAGCTCAGTGCAGCTGCAGCACTGAAGAGGGAATGAGCTCCAGCCTGGCCAGGACTGGGACACTCCGTGGTCCAGGGGTGCGTGGGGAAGGAGGCGGGGGACGAAGATCCTGGGGTGCTCTTTAATTCCAAAAAGTGATCTTCACCATAAAAAGGTTGGGGACCACTGATCTATAACAACCGGATGGTTTAATCTCCATCACTGATGACTGCTATATATTACAGGATATCCTAACATATTAGTAGCATAAAACACTCTCAGAGAGCAAACAGATTTAACATATTTACTCAAATCTAACATGAAGCATCTATCCATCCCCCATCAGCACTGGGGAAAAAAGCCCCTTGTCTTAGATTTGAGTACAAAAGGTGGAGGAGGGGGAGGAGGGGAAGATGGCTGCTGAAGCTCAACTCTGGTCCTGAACACAGGTTGGGGCCAGAGTCAGACCCACAGCAGCCTCTGCGTCTGACTCTGTTGCTCCTGGTAGAGGCCATGCTTCCACATGAGGAAGGAACAGAGCCTGAGCTGCATCTCACAAAAAGGGGAGGGAGGGA